TACTCAAGGCAGCAATTATAGCAGTGTTTCTTAACCTTGGCAGCTTGAAAATGAGTGGACTTCAACTCCCAGAATTCCTCAGCCAGCATGGGCTGGCTAAGGAATTCTAGGAATTGAAGTTCACACATCTTCAAGATGCCATGGTTGAGAAAAACTGATTTATAGCATTTCATCCTCCAATGTTTTTTTCTACATTATCAATGTGGGGTAGCTTGAGCAGAGAGACAGGGACTGGTCTGAAGTCAACCAGTGAGCTTCCATGTCTGAGAGGGGACTGAGAGCCTCCCAGGTTCCAGTCCAACACAGGTCAGGTTGGTGTACAAGTCTTCTAACAGAAAAAATACCACAAAACTTCACTAATCCAGAGAGAATAGTATCTGTGTATTATACAGCTTATGATGGACACGTAAACATTAAATTTTCTTAACCCATTTGTTTAAATCTGAACAGGAACCAAACAATGGAAAATGCCTTTATTTAAAGTAATATTCTTACACAGATGCAACTTTAAAAAAACAATTCACTATCACATTATTTCTTATCTATCATTCCTACACATGATACTCATTTTAATTTTATTTGAATAGACTATAAAAATACGAATACTGCTTTGGATTATGAAGTTAACAAAGTTCATTGATGGAATTTCCTATCTTCCTTCCAGGATTCCCTCTAAACCTCTCCAGAGGATCACAAACACTTCTGAACAATGTGGAAGAGTCCAGAAAGGTTGCTGGGAACAAGGAATTGCTAAAATGGAATCTTAACACTTCAGTCTTAACACTTTGAGAAGAACACTATCCCATTCCTTTCTTTCACTAGCAGCTCCCATCTTCCCTCTCATTTTTACTACTTCAGACCCCTTCCCCCCCACCGCAAATTCTCTGGAAAATCCCTGGTTTCCAGGGGCAAAGGGGATATATGTAGGAGCAAACCAATTTGTTTCTAAATGTCAGATGAACTGCATTATTTCAGCAGCACCAAGCAATACTTTACTGTAATTTCTATTTGTGTTTCATTTAAAACATGAAATGATGATATACTATTTTTGTGAACATTTATAGCCTGGTCCTGATGTTCAAATCAGCAATGGCTAACTATTGCTTTAGAATATTGATTACATTAAGAAAAATCTCAAAGTTAGGGAAAGCTACTGATGGAAGACTTATTTGTTCTTGTCAAAATATAGTCATGGATCATTCAGAACTTCCCAACACAAATTCATTAAAACCAAATAGAATACACTGGCAAAAGGGGTGCTTTAAAAATATTACGTTGAATTTAGATTGTTGTTTCCAAACCCTGGCAACTTCCAGATTTGTGGACTTCAAACCCCAGAATTCCTCTGCCAGCATAGCCATTGCTAAGATTTCTGGGAGTTGAAGTCCACAAATCTGGAAGTTGCCATGGTTGGGAAACTCTTTTACTTAAACTAAATCCTTGAAAATCAGCAAAGCAATGACTAAAACTCAGGGAAACCAGGATTCAATTCATAATTTGAATAAAGTACTGAACTTTAAACTGAATTAAAAGAACTGTAGCATGGATCATACAGAGGACCCCCAACCATTGCAAAATACATTCCTAAAACCAATTCTCTTAGTGCGAACTGCTTTTAAAACATGTCAAATTATATCAACAGCTACTAACTGGATCAGGCGACAAAATAATAAGCTCTGTTAAGTGCTTGGGAATTACTGAATCACAGCCTCGGTCAGTAAGATTGCTCTATTTGTCAATGGCTGTTGCACAATGAAGGGGTATTTCATTTCAACTTATGGAGATGTGCCTGAAATGTAATGACTCCAGTTCCAGTGAATTGAGAATAAGCCATCATTGCAGAGAGAAAACACTATACAACTCTGCTTTAGAAAAAAGCACTAATGCCAGGCATGTGAAACCATGAGAACAAAAAGCACTGCAGAGTATTTACCCTTGCGCAGTAAATTAGTGCATCAAGTTTTCTCTGTTAAAATCTAGACAGCATATTTGAAAATACACAGACATCATAACATTAGAATGCAGTGCAGATGTTTTAATAAAACTAGCACCTCATATTTGTTGCAGAAGTTGTTAATTTACACAAGATTTAAGTTTTTAAAAGCAAATACCAAAGTTAAAAAAAAGGCTGTGATCATTAAAAGTGCTCAGTCAAAACAGTACATTACATAAAATGTAGGAATTTCCCCCAAAATTATTAGACATAAAAATATGCTTAGTATAGAAAGCTGTATTTATTTGAAAAAATGTGAGATTTTTCACAAATTTGGATATTAAATCTGCTTAGATAAGTTTTAGTAAAGTAAGTAATTTGGAGATTTTTACTGACAATGTGTAAGTATGATATTAAAAAAGGACCAGCATCTACTTCTTTGAATTAAAATTTAAATATCACTACTTAATTAAAATAATCCAAATCAATAGTTTGCTTTTTAAACAGGCATGTGAATAGTATGAGTAACATATGAAGCAGATGATTAAATGTTTCCATTTTTTAGATAACTTTTTACCATCTAGGTACAATGGTTGTTGTCTACATACTTATTAACGGCTTATAAAGGATCAGGGTTCAAAAATGAGCATTACTGCTACCAAATTGTAGGAGTTACAAAATGAGACTGCATTGACCAGCAAACTGTACCTTAATTATTTAGTTAAAAAATATAAGAGTTCAGTAGACTATTTAGCAAATAAAACAGCACACTAGTGTGCTAAATTTTAAGGCATACCTCTGCACACTTTACATCTATAAAGAATTATTTACATTTACTACTGAGTGAAAAGAACAGTAATGGTATTTGTTCTGCAAAACTGAGAACTGAGAAATACAAAATATCTGGGACTCTCATTTACTGTACAAAGATAACTCAGTTAATTGTGATAAAACATCATTTGCTAGTATAGGCAGTGACAGCTTCACTGCTATGCAGTATTTCTTGAGGATTTCGTAGAGCAGGAGGTAAATTTAATGGTTTTGATTCTTCATCAAGAAGCACCAAATCTTCAATTTCTCTTCCTTTGTACTTCCTTTTACATAATTTCACAATAACTTTTTTCTTGAGAAATAGTTTCAGTGCTTCCCTTGAAGCAACTGCTTTGGCATTTTCTTTACTTTTCCCACAGCCAGTACCCAAATATACAGATTTGCATCTCAGTTCACAAACCACACTTTCCTGAGAGCTTTTATTCTGAGGTAAATCTGCAAGCTCTTTCAGTGGAACAAATTCAACATCTAATGTTGCCTTTACAGACTGAATGGATGAGTTTAAGAGTTCTACATGGTTGACACTAGGACTAAATCCTCCAACAGCAACTAATTTCCAAGCAACAGCTTTGTATAGTCTATTGAAAAATGGTTGCCTTTCTTTTGCATCTTCATTTGTCAATAATTTGCATGGCACTTTAGTAGGACCTACACTTGGGTGTGAACTACTTTTTGAAGCTAACACTGCAGTACTTTCCAAGCCAGCTTTCTTTTCAGCTGGTAAGACATTTTCGGATTTGTGCTTATTAGTTGTTGTAGATTCATAATTAGCAGCTCTGCCTTCTATTTTTGCTCCACTTAAAGAAGCTGCAGGAACTATCTTCTGGGTCATGGTTGAAGCAGCTGCAGGCTCTACTTTCGGAGTCAATATTGAAGCTGAAGCAGACTCTGCCTTTTGAGATAAGGTTGCAGCTGTTGTAGGCTCTACCTTTTGGGTCAAGGCTGAAGCTGCCGTAGGCAAACGCTGAGACTTCTCTGGGGGTTTTGGTACATCTTTTCCTGGATTCTTTAAAGGTTCAGTATCTGTTTCCACAGACAGCTCTGCCTTTGTAGATTTTTCATTACTAACTTCAAAAGGTTTGTCAGCACCAGCAGCCCGCTTCTTGCAAGGACGTTCTGGAAAGCATAAGCAAATTATGTATGTAATTCTGAGTAAATTCAAGTATCCTTATTTCTATAAAACATCACCATTAGAACTAGAGCCAAAGAATCTAGTTACTTTTATCTTAAAGTCTAAGAATACCCATAATAAAATAATTAAATTTTGCAAAAAGTTTCTATTTAATACAAAAGGTAAATAACCTCTCCCATGAATTTATAGTTTGGATCAAAAAGATTGGAGCTTCTATCGTTCTTGTTTTTTTTTGTTTTTTGTTTTGTTTTTAGCAAAAAGGCAGACTGAACTATGAACTGTAACTATTTAAGGCTAGTTAACACCATCAATTAAAAAAAAATCACCTTACAAACTATTTAAACATTTTAAAAATTATCAAAGCAATAATTAAATTAAACAAACTACTAACAATTTCTGAAGTATTAACAATTTTAACAAATAAGCTAACATGTATTTGGTTTACTGTATTCCTATGTGTATTTGCCAGCTATGATCTGCTAACCATTGCTACTGGATATGCCTCGTTTCACCTTGGCAACCAGTTCATCTCTCAGAGTGTGGGTTGGAGCATTGGTCACTGTAATGCCTACAGCCATGTCCATCACCTTTTCCATCACTTGTGGAGAATATCTAAGTAGGAAAAGATAGAAATTAGCACTTCAAGGAAAATGGATTCTATATTCATGACATTCAAAGCATCAGTGGCTCTTAAAGCACAAGCATTGGGTTGGTGCATGTTAAACTATTTAGTTAAACTATTTAATACATCATTCTGTTTAGAATTTTAAGGTGATGTACAATACTTAAATTACAATATAAAGGACAACAGAGCAAGAGCTCAAAGCTTTGATTAAAAAAAATATAAACAAGTGTAAGTGCTTAGGCTAATAAAAACATTAGGCTCTCCTCAACAGATTACAATGGAGGCATTAGACAAGCCGCTACAAGAAGGGTTTCTACCCACTGGATGTTGATTCAACTACTGTGCTACAGTGAAGTCTTCGGTCACGTGAACAGCAAAAAAACATTTCAGCCGACTTATCAAAAGTAACATCAACAGACTGAAATCAAAAATGAAGCATTTCAATGCAAAGAGAAATGCAATCTTCAAGTGACTGGGATAGTTTAATTATAGGTGCCCCATAATTATTACAGTAATGTTTTTCCTTCAACCCTCTAAAAACTGGGCATACAAGAAAAATAGTTTACAGGAAACAGATCTGGGAAGATTAGCCAATAATTACAATATGTTAGAATCACTATATTCTGCCCAAAAACAAAGGTCAACTCTACCAAATAAGAGCACAGTACTTTATCATAGTAGCAACCGCAATAGCTAGATACACAAGAGGTAGAAGACCACTTAGAATTTCCACATTTGCCACTGTACCTTGTGTAACAAAAAGCAGACTTAAAGATGTATAACTTGCAAATTTTCAAAATGACTTCAAAGCAATCTTCCATAAGGCCCCCTCATAAGAGCAAATCTTATATGGTAACATGATCTCTGCACATAAGAGAGCTGTCGAAGCATTTTTACTGGCTAGTAAAGAGACCCACATTTAAAACAACCTCAGTCGGAATCTTTTTCCCCCATTACTTTTACTATACTTTAAGGGACAACTAATTCTCTTTCACCAAATATGTCGTTTCTTGTAATCACGCTACTTAAATTTGCATTTCTCCGCCAAAAATATTACTGCCACCGACTTACCGACACCCCAGGAAGACGTGATTGGCCCACACCATGGAGAAAGAGACGAGGCGCCGCAGCTCCGTGTTGTCGGCGTCGTCTTCTCGGCTTACGGACAAGGAGAGGCTCTCCGCATTGCGAATTAAGAACTCCCGCCGGTACTGCCAGTGCTGCTCGGGCTCACACTCTTCGCGCAACTTCTCCACCCAGTCCACGCCGGCGTCACCCGCTTCTCCCCTTTTCTCGTTCCCTTGGCTAGGCGCCGCGGCAGGCCCCGCTACCGGGGCGGCTTCCCCTTCGGCCATGGGCCGCAGGGAAGTGGCTCTTAACAACCGGCAGCCTGCAGCTCGCTCTCCGCCACAAGATTATTTAACGCCGGCCTACGTTACGGCGACGCGAAGGAGCTAGTTTACCGTTTAAACCGGCGCTAGGGCGCAGACCGCTCAACATCCCTCCCGGAGGTGATCAAATCAGAAGCCGCCGAATTCTCACAACCAAGATCCGGCTATCCATTATGACTTATTTCCGGTGCGACTCACCGCTTCCTGTTGATGAAACTTCCTGCCCTTCCTTCCCATCGTTCCGCCCGCCTCGGAGTTCTTTCCGAGAGACAGGGAGTAGGAGTTAGGTGCTCCTGCGCGTTCCCTTTTTGGTTTGGATATAGATTTCTTTTTTTTTTGGTAATAACTTTATTAAATTTTTAAAAAGGAACAGTAAAAACTAACAAAAGCTAATATTAATAAGAAGAAGAAAAAGAAAATTGGAAAAAAAGAAAATAGTAAAGATCAGAAGTGTAGAAAAGAAGAAGAAAAAATTGACTTCCAACCCCCCTTGCAACTGATACAAGTAACAACATATATCGAACTCTTGCTCTAAATTTACAACATAACTTCCATTATTTCTATTAACCCATATTATCTCTAATCATCAAGTCCATACAACATAATTTCATTTTTTGTTTCCTACAAAAAGTCCAAAAAAGGTTTCCAGTTAGCATTAAAATTACACAATGTCTTTTCTCTAATCAAAGCAGTCAATTTCGCCATCTCAGCCAACTCCACTGACTTCACCATCCATTCTCCCACTGTAGGTAATGTCTTCTCTTTCCATCTCTGCATATAAAAACCTTGCTGCTGTTATAATATATAAAAACAAAGTTCCATGAGTTTTTTTTCCCAACCGCTTATCTATCAAGCGCAAAAGGAAAGTTTCTGGTTTTGATTGAATATTAATCTTTAAAATCTTCTGTATACAAATATGTATCTCATTTCAGAATTGTTTTGCTTTTTTACGAGTGCACCAGAGATGATAAAAGGTCCCTTCTTGTTGCTTACATCTCCAACATACTTTCAAAGTACCTTTACACCTTTATACATTTTAGATAATTTTTCTGGCGATAAGTACCAACAATACATCATTTTATAAACATTCTCTTTAAGGCTAGAATATAATGTAAATTTTAGTCCTTTGAACCACATATTTTCCCATTGTTTGATCTGTATGCTATAGCCAAAGTTTTTAGCCCATTTTATCATACAGTCCTTAAGCTGTTCATCTTCTGTCTCTAGTTTCAGTAAAAGTTTATACATCTTTGCAGTAACATGTTTATCATTAGTACATAATTCTGCTTCAAATTCAGTCTTATATTCAGAACCATAAGTTCTTTATCTATTTTAAATCTTTCTTGTAATTGTACATAAGAAAACCATTGACAGATGTATCCTTCTGATATCAATTCCTCTCTGGTCTTTAATTTAAAGTCTCTTTGGGAAAATTCCAATACATTACCATAAGTTAACCATTTATGTTTAGTTATCATTTCTCTTCTATAAAAAGCTGCTTGTGGTGACAACCATAAAGGAACCTTCGGAGACAATATAGATTTATATCTTTAGCATATTCTCAATGTGGCATGTCTAATATAATGATTTTTAAAATCTACATTAACTTTAAATAGTTAAATAGTTGTGCCACCCAAATCTTAAGTCATGCCCCTCTAGTTCAAATTCAGGAGACCTAAATCTCCTCTTTCTTTAGCATCTTGTAAAACTTTGTACTTAATTTGTGGTTTTTTACTTTGCCACACAAATTTAGATATGTCTTTATGCCATTGTTTAAACTGAACATCAGTTGTCGTAACAGGTATTGTTTGAAACAAAAATAACATTCTTGGTTAAACATTAATCTTGATTACTGAAATTCTTCCCAGCAATGACAATTGTAATTTTCCCCATCTTAACATGTCTTTTTAAATTTCATTCCAAGTCTTAACATCAGTTTGGATGTGGATTTCTTAACCTGTAAGGTAGGAGTGTAAAGTAAATGATCAAAGCCTCTTTGTCTACAAATAGTTTGGGTTCCACTTCAGTGCCTTTCGCTGAATGTTGCCTTCAGACCCACGGATTAAACGGTTTTCTAAAGGTGTCAAATTTTAATTCCTGTGTCTCCTTGGAGGTAGGAATGGGATTTCACTGGAACAGTCCAACCAAGAATGTTTTTTCTCTCATTGCAGCCTTGAGTGAGGGGGACCTCAATGTTAAGTTACAACCAACTTTAAGAAAGATTTTGAGATACTGAACAGGAGCAGCAAAGAACAAGAATGATGAGGGGAAGAAAAACTATGAAAATAGTTGGCTGTCTCCCTCAGAATGTACTCAGGCAGAGGCTGGAAAGACAGCTGATGGAGATTCTTTAATTTTAATTCTGCACTGAGCAAGAAATTCAGTTGATGGTGTAACAACCCTTTCCAATTTTCCTGTTCAAGCTACAACACACTGGCTTTATTTCCAAGATACCCTTATCTATCCTTAACTCAGCTGTGTCTGACATTTTTTAATTTATCTCAGGCTTCTATGCCACCCCATTCAGAAGATTCTGAGTGATGTATACTCCTGCATTCAGTAATAGAGTGAAAATAATTCAACAAAACAATAAACAGCTTCAGCTCCATCAGTCTATTGAACCTGCACCTAATTCAGCCTTTCAGCTTACACCAATAGCTTTCTAAAAGAGCCAGATTTTTAGTATTGAAGCACTGTAGTGAAAGGGCAGTCCTTAAATCCAGGGAGAGGCTATTCCAGAGAAGGAAGGCTATCACTCAGAAAATTTAGTATTTGGATTTGTGTTGAAAATCTTGCTTTGGCAGCGGAAGCCTTAATGTATCTTCCTGATCTCATCAGGCAGGCAGATTCCACTTGTAGCAAGTTGACTTGGGGATAGCCAGATTCTAAGCTACAGAGGGCTTTAAATGGAATAACTAGTACCTTCAATTACACCCTGAAGTTAACCAGCAGCTAGTGCAGCTTCCACAGTAAAGGTGTCACATGGGCAAACCTAAGCAAACCCATAACTATTTGGGCCACCATATTCTGAATCAGTTGCAACTTCTGAATGTTCTGTAGGAGTGGCTCCATGTAAAATGAGTTGCAGTAATCCAGACATAAAATGACAAGGTGGCAATCCAGTAGTGTCTCCTGTTTCAAGAATGGTTACACCCAACACACAAAAAGTAATTGTGCAAAAGCCTTCTTGGCCATGGCCTCCAACTGCTGTTCTAGTGGGAGCTGTGAGTCCAAGAAAATCTCCAGATTGCAAACCAGCTGCATTTGGTAGGACACAATCCCATCTACAGGTAAAGATGAATTTGCTCCAGAATCAGTCAATAATTCTATCTTGCTGCCATTAACTGTTTGAGACCAGTTAATAATTGTTCAAAATAGCTGTATCAAGGGATGGCTTCATAAAGTGGAAGTATATCATCACCTCCTTCAGAGTCAGCAGCATCATCCCCTTGCCTAAGGATGCATTAATCACTGCTTGTACCCAACATCTGATACCTCTTTAGGGTTTTCACCAACCGAGGAAAGCAATGATCTAATCCATAGGTCACAGACCTAATTACGCAGAGAACATTGTCCATCTTTTCAGAATGGACAGCCTTAAATCAGTCCCAAATCACCTCACAAGGTGCTGCCTGTTATCATCTCAGCTGGACATGCCCAGCCAGCAACCAATTCTGAGGAAATGCAAGTGATTTTAAGTTCCAGATGCTATGCAAATTTTATTTTATTTATGTATTTATTTGATTTATATAGCCACTCATCTCAAGTACATGACTCTGACTGGCTCACAACATTCAAACAAATAAAATATATACAAATATTCTGTATACACACAGCAGCCAAAGAATCATAAAAAGCTCTTAACATACCCAGCAAACAGGCTCCACCCAACTCCCAGGGCCCCAGGCTTGGGCACAGAACCAGGTCTTCAAAGCCTTACAAAAGGCCAGCAGTGTGGGGGCCAACCTAATCTCAGGAGGAGGATGCTCCAAATGGTGCATGCCACAGCAAAAAAAGGCTCTTCAGGGCCTGGCCAGCCAACACTATTTGGTTGATGGTACTTGCGATATGGCTCTCCTGCCAGATCAGAAATAACTGGGTTGAGATGGTCCCCTAAGTAACCTGGCCCTAAGCCATACAGGACTTAAAGGTAACTACGAGTACCTTGAATTGGACCTGGAAGCAAATTGGTAGCCAATGCAGCTTGTGGAGCAGTGGTGACACATGTGCCGAATAACCGGCACCATTAACTACCAACACCACTGCAATCTGTATCAGCTGAAGCTCTGAATACTTTTCAGGTGCAGCCCCATGTAGAGCATCTTGCAGTAGTCCAAATGGGAAGTCACGAGGGTATGACATTTCTACACCATGCATCATTTATTTTACAAAAAGAAAGCCAAAATGGAGAAGCCATGTGTGAAAAACTAAGTA